ATCTACTGGGGCTTTGGGGGGAAAAATAAATAAATAAAATCTTTAAAAAAAAAGATTTTAAACCAAAAATGAAGATACAGACTGGGAAAGAATGGGATAGGTGCAAGAGAAAAAAAAAATTCAGAGAGAAAAATTCCAGCCAAAAAATAATAATAATAATTTACCACTGTCCGTCTGTTGTAAATACTTGCTCCAGTAAGAATGAGCCTTGCTAAAGTCACCAAAGTTCTGATGTTCCACTTTGCAGGGGCAAAAACTCGATCTTATGAGTTCACCCCAGGGAAAATCAGATTCTGCGAAGAAAGACTAACTAACCAAACTGAGAAAAGTCTGAAACACCAGAAGACCCTTAAGGGCAGAGATCCTGTCTGTCTTGATCACCACCATGTAGCATATTTTTGGAATGGGTTAATTAATTTTCATTGCAATATAACTGCCAAGGGGATCAAGAAACTCATAACCTCTGAGTAGTCAGGATCTTCTACAGTTACTATGGGAACAAGGCAGTATAAAGTCGTGGTTCAGAACGCAGATTCTAACTATATTTGAATCCTGTTCTGCCACTTAATGGTGATGAGACTTTGGGAAACTTTTTAAACCTCTCTCTGTCTCATTTTTTAATTCATGTAAAAGGGGAATGATAATATATATATTTTTTTTTATTTATTTTTTTTCTGAGGAAGATCAGCCCTGAGCTAACATCTGATGCTGATCCTCCTCTTTTTGCTGAGGAAGATTGGTCCTGGGATAACATCTGTGCCCATCTTCCTCTACTTTATACGGGACACCGCCACAGCATGGCTTGACAAGCGGTGCAGAGGTGTGCACCCGGGATCCGAACCTGCGAACCCTCGGGCCACGGAAGCGGAGCGTGCACACTCAACCACTAAGCCACTGGGCAGGCCCTGGAATGATAATATCATCTACCTCATCAGGTTGTTGTTACTGCAAAATGAGTTACTATTTGTAAGACTCTTAAGAAGAGTGCCTGGCACAGAGTAAGCACACAATAAATGTTAGCTATTTATAGCTCTACAAAAACTCTAAGATAAAGCAAGCCTTTGTGGACACTATTGCTATTATCTGATCTAAATCCAGAGTCAAGATAACATGAAAGCAGAACCACAGGAAGAAAAATAAATAGGTGATTGACAAGATTTCCTGGACCATTCCTGAATGTCATTTCAGTTCTGTAGTACATGGCTACAACACAACTGTTGGTATTTAAAACAAAGAGTTCTAAAACAAGGTTCTAAAAACAACCCCCTATAAATTGTGCTGACACAATTTACAAGTAGACTTGTAAACTCACAGATAGGGTCAAGTGGAGCTAACTTCTATTTATTTCAAGGCTGATCATTTAGTTTGAAATCCATTCCCAGTCTGCTGGGCTCTTACACTGACATGTCAAACAGCTAAGTCCATCCAATTTACCTGAGTTCTTTAAGGTGCAAGGAGCCAAGTCACTTGAACTGAAACTTACCCTGAGCTGAACTGCCATCAGATGCTGAGGTGACTGGAGACCTGCTCCTCCGTGTTTCTGTCTCTCTCGTTCGTTTCTGCTCCTCTGCTCTTCTCTCAGTGCCAACTGACTTCCATTCTTTATTCTACCTTTTGGTTTCTGCTTGCTCATAATTTTTGTTCCCTTATAATTACATCTTTCTCATGGCATAAGACACAATCTTAACTTTCAAATTCCTAGTTTCTTAGTTCACATTCTCCAGAGACAGAAATCTTCTTGGGTCTTCGTATCTTTCTCTACTAAGTCACATCATAGGTCTTCCGGCCTTCAATCAGGTGTTAATTCTGGTCCAACCTACTGTGTCAAGGCGATGGTGGCTGCACCTTCGGCGGGAGCTATGGGCATGAAAATGGCAGACCCTTTAGTAGACGTAGGAGGTGGGCAGACACAAAAATTGACATCTCTGGTACACTGCTATACCCCCTTCCCTTACTTTCTCCTTCAATTTTCTACAAATGTCCTAATCCCTCCAACATTCACGTATAGATCTTACCACTCTCTCCTTCTATCCTCAGTACTTGGCAATTTAACTCAATCTCAGCCTTCATATTGGCCTTTGCAAATTCTCCAGTGCATTGTTTCTAGTAAATGTCAGTCTTGCTTTGTTTATGAAGTCAGGTGGGCTGTGTTGGAGTTCATCTCCACATAGACCATCTAGCTTCTCACCAACCAAATGACTCAGCCTGCCTTACATTGGTCTCGTCACAAAGTGAGCTCAGGAGAAATCATGAGCTATGTAAATGCAACACTCATGGCTCATTTTAAAATCAGCAAAAAGGTGAAAGCCTTGTGATAAAGGGATAAAACTATCTTCATATAGGAAAGATAGACGTCTCAAAAGCTAATCTCCAGACAATGCTAATGCTATCATGTGTTGAAACAAAGATTTTATGAATGTCTAATATATAAATAGTGGCAATAAAAGTCATATAGCTCTGAATTAACAACAAGGGAGGCTGGGAAATACAGAGGAGCACATGAATATTTGGTGGGCACTAATGTCTCTGCCACATGTGGTAGATGACTTACACAATCATAGGTGGCATGGCTCTGCATGCAATAATTTAAACAAGAAATAACCAGGAAATGAAATGGATAGCAGGAGGCGAATTTTGGAAAGTGTGAAGGATGTGATAAGTAATTAGGTGAAAAAGTGACTAAAGATGAATGAGATTTGGGGCTTGGGTGACTAGTTATTTGCTACCCATTTATATAATTCATAATTCTGTATAATCACATTTAGAATTCAGGTCTTCTGATCCCAAACCCAATATTCTGTTCATTCTGTCAGGCTCAATATTTCATTTACGAAAAAGCAAAATCCTAACAAAGGATCATTGAATCACATGGATTCACCACTATGTCCTCAGTGTTCAGAATAGTGCCTAGTCTATGGGAGATGCTCAATGAATAGTTATTGAATGAATAGATGAGTGAATGAATGAATGAAGAAAGTGGACTTTGTTTCAACAGAAGGGATTTGACTAAATAAAAGGAGTTTTGTCTTTACATGTTGTTAGATCCTGCAAATGGTTTCCCAGGAAGTTCTAATACCTTTTAATAGCTATTTTTAAAATATCGTAGGAAACCTTACCATACTTATGTCCACATTCCTAAATAATAGAAGAAATCCAATTAACTTCGTCTTTCCTTTTATAGGAGTATTCTTCATTTTAAAAATAAGGCCTAATAAAATAATCTATGTAGCCCTTTCACTTTTAATATTCTGTGTGCCTCTAAGACAAAATGTGCTTGATTAGTTCTCCTCCACAACTTACAGTGAATGCATTTACTGCTCCTCCCAGATAGATATGGCTGTGGTGACCATATTTTTCTCACCAAATGGAGTGAAACTAAATCTAATAACTAAATCTAATACTTAAAATCTGAATTTTCCTGTAAAGTCTAAGACACATAGACACTATAGGGATGAGTCTGAAATATTTATTTAAATTCTGAATTATAGGTATGATTCCTCATGACCTTGTACTTAAAGTGTCCTTGGCTGTTTATCAGGGCTGATGTTCACCAATATGGCAAAATTCTGATTGGTCAGGGGTCTATTTTAATTTTCTGAGCCCATGCAATAGTATTTTGAACAATCAAAGAATTCTTTATCTTCTGTGAGCTTAATTTAGTAACAGGGAGGCTAACTGAGCTCTGGTAAACAGGGTTGCACACAGATAATTTTGATTTTGTGGTAGGAGAGTTTTTATCCTTTCTTCGTTGTCTCCCAGCTACCACCTACCACTTTGCTCACCAAAGGACCTGGGATAAATTATACATTCATCATATCAAATCTCGAACTCTAGTATCACATGCGAGGAGATAAGACAAATTTTTACAGGTAGACACTAACTTGAGTATATATATATTTTTAATGGTTTTAGGCTTAAATCAGTCATGCTCTGACAGAGTAGCATGGACCATATAATGTCTGGAGGTCCCTCCTATATCTATGACTCATAATTTTCCACGTAGACAGTTCAAGAAAAACCAAACTGCTATATATGGATGGTCACTAAATTGCTTTGCACAAGATAAAGGATATTACTCTTTTTATTATAGTCAAGATGAAAGTTGAGGGGGGACAGTCCCGTGGCCTAGTGCTTAAGTTTGGGGTGCTCTGCTTCGGCAGCCTGGGTTTGGTTCCCGGGCATGGACCTACACCACTCGTTGTCAGCCATGCTGTGGCAGTGACCCACATACAAAATAGAAGATTGACACAGATGTTGGCTCAGGGCGAATCTTCCTCAGCAAAAAAAATAAAATAAAATTGAATTAAATGCATCAGACTTCTCCTAATATCCCTACAATCTTCTCCAACTGCTAGAATCCCCTTCCAGTGCTTCCTAGACTCAGAGCAGCACAAGTTACTGTCTTCCTTTATATTTCACAGCCTCCTTGGTAGTTAAGTTGGAGCCATGTTCTAGCCAAGAGATGTGGACAGAAATGATGTAAGTCACTTCCAAGTCTGGTCATAAGTGCCCCTGCAAGAACCTCCAGCTCTTTCTTCCCCTGCCTTGGTGATCTTGGAGTCTACATATTCCAGATGGTCTCACTATAAGATAGAGGTAGATAGCCTAGATCTCTGAATGTTCACTAGGAGGAGAGCCACTCTACAGGTATTAGACTGTGACATGAGCAAGGAATAAACCTTTATCACATTAAGCCACTAGTGTTAATTAACCAACTACTCTACTGGCTGAGAGGATAATGGGGAGCTAAAGTCTAGCCCCTGATTTAGTTACCAAACCATGTGCCTTGGCACAGTCTTGTGCCAAAATGAGTGCCCTGCTCTGCATGCCCCCAGGGGAGATGACTTTTCTAATTCAAATGCCATATGGACTAGCAGTGCCCCTGATTGTATCCCCTCTCAATTGATCGCCCTGTCTTCACTTTTTTTCCCCCTTTGCAATCCCTCCATAAAAAACGGCCAGATTAATATTTCTAAGGCACAACTCTGACCATGCCATTTCTTGCTTGGAAACCCCCAAAGGGGCCCTATTCCTTCATGGATTAAGCCCAAAATCCTTAACATGGTCTCTAAGACCCTCCACAATTCATCAAACAAATCCACCTGTGCATCCCAATCACTACCTTTGTCTCCTCACCTCGTGTTCTCCAGTTCTGGAAGCTAGCATGGCATGAAGCCAGAGCTCCCTCAGCCTGACTCTCCATAGCAGGTGCACCCCACCTCATATCCAGCATTCATTGACCTAGTTTATGGAACCTCCACCTTCACTCACTCTAAGAATTTCCATAGTATAGAATTTCTTCAAGTCCCCCAGCCTTCTGGAGTCACCTTTTCCTTTAATATCCAAATTAAAAGGCTCAACTTCCAATCTATGTATTTTAAGGGCGACTCCATCTGGTTTCTTTGTGGGGAGAAGAGGGTTTGTCTCACAGTTGTTCTTGAGTTAATTCACTCTATAGTGTGCTCCTCCATTCTGGCTCTGCAGCATAGCAAGAATTCAGCTGTGTTCTCAACCCTGGTTGGATCCTACTTGTGTGAAGGGTGTCAATAGCAATTCATCTCACCATGAGGGAACCAAGAGGTGAGGGAAAGACAAGAACATATAATGCATCTATTACTACTTTGTGTAGTGGCTAGGATTGGCAGATAAAATATAGGATGTCCAATTAAATTTGACTTTCATATAAACAACAAATCATTTTTTAGTACAAGTATGTCCAAATATTGCCTCAGATATACTTATGCTAAAAAATTATTTGTTGTTTATCTGAAACTCAGATTTAACTGAGCATCCTGCATTTTTATTTGCTAAATCTGGCACCCCTAGTAGTGGCTTCGCTTTTGTTAAATTCTTGATCTTTGGCTCAGATTTGGGGCAGGGGGAGGGACAGCAAGACTCTTCCTGCCAATACATGATCTACCAAAAATACTGCCATTTTAAATAACATTTTCCCCCTCAACAGCAATGTTTTCCTTCCTATTATTCATGTGTTATAGTGATTTCTACACAATAATATCTCCCATTTGACAAAAATAGGCTTCTTGAAGTCAGGAATCTTATTCTCCATATTCTTTCATTGGCTGGCTGGATCTTGGAGGCATCTTTCTGGCACTGACTATGTACTTGCTCCATTGGCATTTCAAGAATTTAAAACCAGCAATAGCGCCAGAAATTTTAAAGCAGATAACAGAGTCAGAAGAAAATGGCTTGGACGTGTATAATAGCAAATCCTAGCACTTTTTCTGGCTTGCGTAATGAGCCATGGATTTTTAATTTTGGACTTGCACATATATTTCCAAATATCTCCCCAGGTCTTCCAGGAAATACTTGACTGGGTTTTATCTGAGGTGCATCAGACACTCATAGGAGCATAGGTTATGGCTAGAAGTCATTCTTTTGAGATAGCTTGCCAGAAGTGTAACTCTCCCTAAAACATAAAAAGTAGCGTCCCCACTTGGTGGGTGTTATTTTACTCTCTTCCAAACACATTTACACATTACCTCTAGCATTGGAAAGTAGCAAACTGGCCACAAGTTAACATCTTGTGAATCACACAGCCTCACCTTACTGTCTAGCTCCTGTTCCCTGTGCTTCTGGGTCACTCCTCTGGAAGCCAGAAAGGTGAGTAGGTTA